AATAATTTACCTGCTTATAGCAGCAAAAACTTATCAGTGACTTTTAGACTTATCAAACTCATATTTTATTTAGTAGTGGTTAATAATAATTTGATTTAAAAATTAAATGTATTAATGTGTAGGTATTTTAAGAAGTCATTTAATAACTGCTCATGTATTGAAGAGCTTTTTGTCACGACCCAATTTTCAAACCCGGTCGTGTGGCGCCCTCGTGAAGGGACAAGGCCAGCCAACTAACCCAAATCGCTTCTTTATATTTATTAACTAAACGAATAGGGAATAAGCTTAACGAACAATAATAAACCAGGTATGTACAACCCACATTAACCCGACCGGGGTGTCACAAGCACGAACATCTAAAAGAACCTTAACACACTTAACAGGCCAATAATATATACAAGTAAAGGTTTCTGGAAAATAAAAGACAACATCGGTCGCGAACACTGGCGGTCACCTTACTCAGCCTACAATAAATACTTTCAATCCGCTAATACCCGACCGGTGCGTAACGATAATGCAATGCACGCGAATATGCAGGGAGTAAAGTTGAGTACTTCCAACTCAGTGAGTAAGAAGTAAATAATAACTGAGCAGCAAGAAATCACGTAAAGCAACCAACGGGCTGTACAGACAGCCGGGATAACAATTTTCGAGAAAAACAGTGAAATCATAGAAACTCTTTTAGAAATTTCGCTCAGTTCAAATCTCTTATGAATGGTCCTTTCAATTAATTACGAAAACTGTTCAAAAATAGTTTAGTGCTGATTAAGCACAGAAAATCCGCCCTCCTTGCCACCAATATCACAGCATAGCAGTAATAATACAAATAAGTATGCAAGATGGAACACATAAAAGTTTCGCCCCTCGGGCACCAATTCGTTACTAGTCAGTCATTGTTTACCTTGACCGCGTCAGCATTTGTTTACCTGACCCAAACGCGTGTTTCCAGTGCCATTGTTACCACTGGTGCCATTTTACCTGATGGTCACCCATGTACCTACCAAAACACGTATGACAGTGTTATTGTTACCACTGTCCAATTCTAAATGGGTTAACCCGCGCTCACTGTGGGTGTGCAGACTCCGGAGGGGCTCCTTACAGCCCAAGCGCTATTATCAACATAAGCCTAAAGCCTGTACATATCAACATTGAGGCCCTGAATAGCCCTTTCTCACAGCACAACTTCGAGGCCTTGTCCGCTTAGAGATGAGCATTTCACGCCTAGTCTCTCTCCTCCCAAATACACTCTTTCAGAGTTGTATTGTAGTGAGGAGGCCTGAAGAGCTTTCGGAGCGCCCCTCTCCTCACAATACTCCAGTGAGCTCGTGCTGTGATGTGGCAGAACGTGCGTTGTCAAGAGGCCTCCTCTGTATGACTAATGCACCAGAGCTCTTTCAGCCTTATGTTGATATAGCGCTTGAGGTCTGTATGGAGCCTCCGGAGTCTGCACACCCACAGTGAGCGCGGGTACCCATTAGAATTGGACAGTGGTAACAATAAACTGTCATACGTTGTTTTGGTCAGGTAACAATGGCTGACCATCAGGTAAAAATGGCTGACCAGTGGTAACAATGGTCACTGAAACACGCGTTGGGTACAGGTACAATGGCTGACCGGTCAGGTAACAATGACTGACTAGTAACGAAATTCGTGCCCGCGGGGCGAACTTTTATGTGTTCATCTTGCTACTTATTTGTATTATTACCTGCTATGCTGTGATATTGTGCCAGAGGGGCGGATTTTCTGTGTTAATCAGCACTAACTATTTTGAACAGTTTTCGTAATTATTGAAAGGACATTTTCATAAGAGATTTGAACTGAGCCGAAATATTTCTAAAGAGTTCTCTGATTTCACTGTTTTTCTCGAAAATTGTACCCGGCTTCTGTACAGGCCCGTTGGTTGCTTTACGTGATTTCTTGCTGCTCAGTTATTATTTACTTCTATTACTCACTGAGTTGGAAGTACTCACTTTACTCCCTGCATCTCGCGTGCAGTTGCATGTATCGTTCACCCGGTAGCGTGTATTAGCGGATTGAAGGTATTATTATTGTTAGCTGAGTTAAGGTGACCGCCAGTGTTCGCGGAACCGGATGTTGTCTTTTATTTTCCAGAAACTTTACTTGTATATATTTATTGGCCTGTAGTTGTGTTAAGGTTTTTCTTTAGATGTTCGTGACTTGTGACACCCCGGTCGGGTTTGTTGGTTGTACATACTGGTTATTATTGTCGTTTAAGCTTATATCAACCTATTCGTTTATGTTTAATAAATATTAAAGAGACGATTTGGGTTAGTTGGCTGGCCTTGTCTTCACGAGAGGCGCCATCACGACCGGGTTTGAAAATTGGGTCGTGACAAAAATCTTTCAATACATGAGCAGTTATTTAAAAATGACTTCTTAAATACCTAAACTATTAATAACAATTTTTTAAATTTTAAATACAAAATTATATAATTAACAACAACTACAATAAATATAAATATGAGTTTGATAAGTCTAAAAAAGTCAACTGATAAGTTTTGCTGCTATAAGCAGGTAAATATTGTTTGAGAAATAAAAATTAATTTTGCATTTTAAATAATTATATTCAATACAATTACTATTCTCATCCTTAATCATATACAATTACTATTTCTATCTTATTTAAGAAAAAAATAAAGTGTAGATTTGACATTAATATTTTTATTACTTAATAGTGTTAGACAACTCTTGTCATGATTTTCATAATCGAGCAAAATATCATCATTTTGTCATGGCAACCATTTTCATTTTTTTAAGCTAACTATTTTTATTATTATTTGAAGTATAAATATTTATTTAGCTACAAGATTTTGTTTCGAATAATTTCATAGGCTTATAAGGTTATTTATTACTATATCGAGTTTTCAACCTGTGACAAAAGTTAATGATTAGCTATGAAATTTTTATCAGACCAATAAATTATGGCTAGATTATTCTGTAACGACAAATAATAGATTATTAAGCCAATTATTTGCCATAATTTTTTAGAACTTGAAGCAAAAATATTTATTTTGTTATAATATTTTATTTTAAATATTTTTATTATGGTTTAAAAGGTTACTTTTGCTACAGTCACTTTACGTCGTAGCCTAAAAACTAACAATTAGCTATAATATTATGTCATAACAATAAATCCGTGGCTATATCATTTACCTATTGCCACAGTTTTTTATAACTTTAAGCAAATGTATTTCTTTAGCTACAATATGTATTTCAAATAATTTATTGTAGTTAAAAGGTTACTATTGCTATAATAACTTTTAATGCGTGGCTAAAACGTATGAATTAGCTACGCAATTTATTGGGGCAACAAATTTGTAGCTATTTAGGCAATTACTGCTACGATTATTAGAAATTATAGCAAAAATGAAGAATTAGCTTTACCAATTTAATTTTCGTGGCTAGCAAATTTTTTGAATTTGTAAATAGCCATAAAATTTTAATTTTTGTGGCTATTGTTATGTATTAGCCACGATTTTTAAATTTGTAGCTGAGATTTCGTAGCTATAAATACATTATGTTGTAATGAGACAATAATTGTAACTGTTTTTGACACGGTAATACCACTTAACATGACATCTTGAGTCGTTTTCCCATGTGTTAGAGATCTTTCTAAGACGGATTGTGCTTGATGACAGGTAATAGACAACGGTAAATCAAGGATTTCTAAAGGATGGGTGCACCATTAGCAAACATATTGTGCCTGGGACATGGGTCGGGAAGGAACAGTGATTAGAAAAATAATGACTTGAAAGAAGTGAAAGAAACGAAAATAAAACAAAAAATGAAGTTCTGTATAGTAGATCGATCCTACTCATGAAAGCAATTTAAACATATTGCCAATATAACCAGTGGTCCGCTGAATTTGCAACTCATAACCATTGCACCACTGAATATTCTTGAGAATGGGTTCTCAAGTTTGCTATTTGTTTGTTCCCAGAAATTATTTACACTAGTATACAGGAGTTGGGGGTGTAAGCATGTGTTCACGTGAACCCAAGTTCTCTATGTAGATACACCACTGGTATTTAAAGCAGTCTATATATTGTTATAGTTAACAAAAGCTGTTGTTCTTTAACCCCCACAAATTTCTAGATTTGTTTTCCCATATCTGATAGTGGCTTTAAGTGTTTTTGTTGGTGTCTGATCTAGCGTTTATTTGATATCTTTTTGGCTTATGTACTCATATCTACTCAAATCAAACAGGCATTCATTTGAATACGTGGATAGAGAAGAGATGATAGTAGCTAGCTCATATGGTTGGTGGAATCGATGCTTTCATAAAGCTACCTCAAGGTTGGCCACTAACCACCTCTGGTTTGACCCTCATGTCTGTCTCTCAAGAGCTCAAGTCACTCCTCAAAAGGGAATTTTCCAATTTATAGGGAAAAGGTTTCGATGGGTCAATTATCGGCTTTATTTTAAATGAAAAATTTCATGCTAATGCGGTTTTTCTTGTGGAAAGAAAGGAAAGGCTGGCTTATTGTCTCTCTGATGTTAGGAGTCTAGCACAACCTAATTCAAGGTTTTTGGCCTTGTGATCTTTGCTTCATTTTGTGTTTGTAGGAAGTGGCAAACTCGTTGGATACAAATTCACGACAGAGTATCTCAGTCTTCGTGGATAGAGTTGAAGAAATAGTCATGCAACAAATAACTTCAAACTGAAAATAGTCCAGAAGATGACTATTGACTGCTTCCCTGCTCTGAGAATGTTCTGTACTCATTTTGGTAAGATTTATCTATGTTATGATATTGTTTACATTCAATAGTACTGATGCCAGCTCCTAGTTGTCAGAATCACTACAGATATGGAAATGGTTTGTCACAAACATTTGATTTAATATGTCCTAATTTACTCAACAGAAGTGGAGAGTTAGTATTATGCTGATGTAGGTTTCTCACAATTAACATGAGTTATTTTAGGCCTATGTGTTCATATGTAGTGCTTTGTTGTTTGACTGTTAGTTGAAAACTTACAGGTATTGACCTTGTGTTCCAACAATATGCATTTATGTCACTAAAATATGGAACTTTGTCCATTAGGAACACTAATTACCTTCCTTTTATGCTTTGTCAAACTGAACAAGATATGCAAAGTTCTACCAGTTTTCTCTTTTTTAAGCATAGTTTTTCCTAGTTTCCAAACAAGGGGCAAAAGTTACTAACTTTACACTAAAAGTCAACAGAAAATCTCGAAGATGGTAAGACTTCTTGGTAAGACTAGCAAAACAGTTTCATTAAAAAGTTGTTATGCTAATGAAGAAGTTTATCCAAAACCATATGAACATACAATAATCACTATAAATTGGACCCACAATAACAAGAAAACCAAGCATAACAAGAAACAAAACCAACATGCCTTCCTCATCACACTACTTAGTAATTTGCTTCTTCTTACTTAGTTTTTTGGCAGTTTCATCAGTTAATTCACAGAGCCCCGTTCATTACCCGATCAATGTTATTGTGAAAAATGAAACTCCACGTACAGCCTCGGCAAGATGTTATATACATGGAATTGATGCTCGCGACAAATTCATAATGACACCAGGTCATATTGTTGAATTCTATATGAGCATTATTCCTGGAGAAGATAACACCCTTTCTTGTGACGTGAAATTAGGGGAGAAACACGGGTTTTTCGAGTTGTTTAACTTGAATAATTCTCGCATTTGTCACACTCCTGATGTATATTGTTATTGGAATGTACATGAAGATGGATTATGCATGTTTGTTGCAGGTAAATGTGTGCTCTTCAAATGGGATGCTAACTCAACAGTTCTTCCCAGTTTGAGTCTCCAAGTCAAAGATAAACTCCCTTCAATTAGACATACTGCAAGTGAAAAACTGAGATATGCTGCAACTGGACCCTTCATTTTGAAAACAAGTCCTTAGTAAATCCATGAAATTTTGTACTAATATTCTATGAAAATGATTAAGAAAAATTCAGGTATTATGTGAATTGATATGCCAAGCTTTATGTTCAATGTGTAATGAGCTTCCAATCTCATGTCACAAAAACGTATGCCCGTTTATCTCCACATGAATATAAATATATTTCACATCTATAGGAAGTATTTCTCTTTGTGATGCATTTTAAAGGCTAAAATTCTCTCCATATTTATAAATTTGCTCATTACAGTTGAGGTAGAGACAAATTACGCATAATTTCTAATTTAAATTGAGACATCGATCTTGAATATTTTCACACGAAAAAAAATGATATTTGAAGCTGATCAGTACTCATTGAGCATAAAGCTTAAGGCATATTCAACAAGGAAGAAAAAAGCAAAATTACAAGCACTATATCTTTATATTTTGAGATCCGTCGGATAGAATCATTCCATTGTATTAACAAAAATTAATCCCGTAAATCCATGCCAGTAGAAGAAAGTCCCATATACTTGTCGATTATATGTTGAACCCTTCTTAATTAGCTTCAAATCCATATCCTTCACTGCTAGACCAAGATTCAAGCCAAAATATTCCTACATCATTAAGAATTCCCAAATAGTGAGATACTAATATTCCTACTATTCTACCCAGACCCCACCTATTGAGATCATATTGGGTTTGTTGTTGTTGTTTTTGTTGAGATACTAATATTTTTTTTTAATTTTGATAAGAATGGACATTGGGCCTAACTCAACCCCAAAAGCTAGCTTGTGAGGTGAGGATTGCCCAAGCCATATAAGGAGACCAAGGACCTCAAATACCTCCGATGTGGGACAACTCAACACCCCCCTCACGCCCAGGCCTCTGGAGCGTGGACAACATAAATGGGGGTCCAACATCGGTAACAATAATTGGGATGAGTCTGGCTCTGATACCGTGATAAGAATGGACATTGGGCCTAACTCAACCCCAAAAGCTAGCTTGTGAAGTGAGGATTGCCCAAGCCATATAAGGAGACCAATGACCTCAAATCCCTCTAATGTGGGACAACTCAACAAATTTGCATATGTTTTTGTTTATCCTAAGCTCGATTAAAAGGTGAGCTTACAGGCATTCACAACCAAACCCATAATAATTGGGACTATTGTCGCGGTTGCAGGAGCGATGATAATGACTTTAAGAAGGCCAACATAAGGGCTTTTTCGACCAAAAAAGTATACATTTAGTAACCGAAAAAGTTTATAAATTTTTTATATATACAAAAAATATATACTTTTTTTGCTATTATTTTTTGAGCGGTTATACAGTGTCATTATTCCAAGATAATTACCGGTGTTATTATCATGATTCCTGCAACTTTGGCACTAATCTCAACTATTTTTTTGCCTGCAACGAATGTTTGTTAGCTTCAGCTTCTCATGCCTAGGATAAAAAAAATATGTGCAACTACAAAAAAGAATTAATTTCTCACTAATGAAGAAGTTAAAAGAATGGGAGGGTTTATAAGTCATATAATCTGTTGATATTGTTTACCTTGAAAATGGTAATTATAATTAGATTTGATTTTGTGGTTCTAAAAATACGTAATTTATTTTAATGCTAGTTGTTAGGCAATAGATGCTACGTGTGAGACTGGAAAATGAGATAAAAGCTTGAAGATAATGTGATATGCAAACCGAATGGCCGCGAATCGGGGTCTCCCGCTAGCTTATGCTGGGCCTCGAGGTCGAGCTAGAGCATTAGGCTGTGGATGACCTATGAAGGACTAACAGTTCTAAGAGCTTTGATGATGACTCTTTATGATTAATGGTGAGTAATAAATGAAGAACAATCAATAAGACATAGTAAATGTAAGCAATGAAGTCAAAGGAATGAAAGTAGAATATGTTTAAGTTAGAGAGCCGAGAATGTTCTTGTATTGAATATCATGTGTCTTACAAAATCACAAGGGTCCCCTTTATATAGAAGGGGGAAACACAACATAGTACAGGTGCATTTATTACAAAGATATGCCGCTGGTACAACCATTTAATCCCATGGTACGGATTTGTACTAGCCTAGTAGACCTTGTCAGTTCTAACCACGTGCCTTGGGAATTTTCCGCTTGTCCATCATAGCCACCGATTTGCACTGTCCCGAGATCGAACATAGAGGATCCTCGGGGTCGAACCTCGAGCTACCCTCGAACCTTCAAAAGAACAAGCTATGGATCGTCGTAACGATCATAAAATCGGACTCTTCGATTTTAGCCGTATACAGATAGTCCCCGCGTTTCTTAGAGCGAAAACGATAAGAAACGATTTTGACCTTGATTTTCTCGAACCTCTCGTGATGACATCATGCTCGTGACGTCAGTGCTCTAAGTGACTGAGAACATCCTATCAGTCCGTCTTCCTAGAAGCATTAATTATACTGTCGGTTTATTTTTCAAAAAGGCATTTATTGCGCTGTCGATCCGTTTCCCCAAAAGCATTGATTGCGCCGTTGATACGTTTTTTTCCTTCTATAAATGGGAGGGGGAGGTGTTCGAGCCAAGACTTCATCCAATCCCTTTTCAACAGCCTCTGGCCCTTTCTCTTCTCTGCATCATCTTCCAAATTTCTATCTTTATGGTTCAAACTCGTGACCATAAGGTCATACGACAACAACCTTGTCACTTATGACATGGCTCTTTTTCAAACCTTTTTCCCACTGAGTGGAATTATGCTGAGTTGTTGTTGTTGTTGATTATGCTGAGTTGTTGTTGTTGTTGTTGGATCGAAATAATGAGGGAAGGACCTCAAACTCTTTCCGTATCAGAAGATATGTGGACCGTGAACCGCTGCTCATCTCTCTTAACTTCAACCTGGTGTGACACCCCATTCCTTTTGCTTTCCATGGAGTGAGGTGGCATTATCTACTAACTTTTGCATCCCACACCGGTGCAATTTCTCAAGAAGTGGTTTCACAATAGTAGTGCTGACGAGACCCATACTCGCAAAATGTTTCACCAAGGCACAATTCTCCCTGCTTGTTAAAAGCTTTTTCTCTTTGATAGGCAATAGCTGCTTTGGAGGAGACTCTCGAAGATATTTCTCTGAAGATCAAAATGGGGCCCTCGCGGAAACGGTTCTCGCAGATTTCGCTCCCGAGGATATATCCTCGAAAGTAGATTAGGCTCTTTAGCTGTTGTTTTTTGCATCTTTATTTCTGTGTAAGGACCCCTCATGGGCTTTTGTAATCATCGTTTATTAATACAAAAGTTTCTTCAATTTGCCTTTGACTTGTGCTGGATTCCCTTTTGCCTGTGTTTGTGATAAATCCGAGCATGTGACTTTACCGATTAGTTCGAATACTGGACCCGGATATAGGAAATCCTTTGGTTCTCGATTGGATACTATGATATTCCCTGAAACCCTTTTCCATCCCTCGGACTAAGTCTGGATTGATCTAATACAAACTTAGGCCGCAGGGACTTCCGAGTTCGAATTGAGTGAGAGTGAGGCCTCGTATTTAAAATAAAGCTTAGACCTTTTAGGCCCTGTTGATAGTCCTCGAGGGATGAGTTTGATTGATCATCTGAAAATAAAGATAGCCCTTAGGCCTTTACAAATAGTCCCCCGAGTGAGAGTTTTCTTGAACTCGGGTGCCCCTCAATGTAGCAAAAATTTGCCTTGAACTTAAAAAATGAGGATAGCATTAAGGCGTTATAGAATGTCCCTGAGCGAGGATACACTCGAACTCGGGTGGCCCTTGGGCTTCAAATAATCGAGGGAGCGTTCAAATTAAACTTGATAAGTAGGTAGCCCTGGGGCTTTACGAATAGTCGAATCTGATCTTGAGATAAAGATTGCCCTGAGGCTTTGTTAACAAATCCTGAGTGATAACTGGCTCGAACTCGGGCAGCCCTTGGACTTAATAGTCGAGCGAGCGTTGGCTCGAACTCGAATTAAAGATAGTCCTAAGGCTTTATGAATAGTCCCCGAGTGAGAATTGGCTCGAACTCCGGTAGCCCATGGGATTAATAGGCGAGCGAGCATTGGCTCGAACTCAAAATAGAGATAGCCCTGAGGCTTCATGAATAGTCCCCGAGTGAGAATTGGCGCGAACTCAGATAGCCCTTGGGCTTAATAGTCGAATCGAGTGTCTGCTTCGATGAGATAGATACTGCCCTGAGGCTTTAATTTGTAGGCGTCCAATCGTCGCCCTTTTGGCCCCCTTAGTACGCTTAAACGACCTTTTAGAATAGACAAGTCCCGTAACTTTGTGGATATCATTCTTTTAGTGCTTCCCAAACTTCTCTACTGCAGGCGTTGGAGAATTTTCTGATATGAGACCATGCCCTCTTGGAGAGGAGGGAGGATCTTGGGCTTCGGGACCGAAGAGCGATAACAAGCGCAAGGAATCCTCGGTGGGCAAGGAGACTTATAGTGAGGCAAGGTCTGTCCGGAGGCGTAAAGGAGATGCAAACATCGAGGTAGATCATGTAGATGTCAGCCATTGTGCGAACATTGGTGCAACAGAAGGGAGCGAACACACATCGATGGCTCAAGCCGAGAGGCCTCTCGGGGCAGCTGAGCATGCAATACCCGAGATTTCTAGCCTCGGGGAGTGACTCCTCTTTTGCCACCGTCTTCTTCCCTGGCCAAAGGTACTTCGAGGGACAAGGATCTTTCGTCGCTATCTCCTTCTCCTGTCAAAGTTGCTTCAAGGGATACGAATTTTCTGCCGCCATCTTTCTCTCCCGTCGAAGGTACTTCAAGGGATATTCGAGGCCAAGGGCTACCTAAATCAAGCAGGGCCTCGAGCGATCATATCCTCGCCGAGAGTGATTCAACTGGGGCCGATGAGACCAGGCCAGTAGATGCACGCTCGACTTTTGAAGAGGCTCAGCGGCTATACTATATGGTGAGTTTTGGTTGACTTTGTTAGTTTTCAGCTTTGCATTATCATTTTCTCACTGAGCTTCTCTTCCATAGGCCTTTGACAAGCTCAAGTTTGAGCCGCTCCACCGTAAAGCTCGGTTGCGGAAAGCCTAGGACGGGGAGAAATCCCTTAAATTTTTTTGTGATAAAAAGGCAAAGGATTTGGTATACCTTCGATATGAGGCGAGTCGAAGCCTGGACTTTGAAGGCTACCTTGAAAGACATGTAACCTAGAAATTCGGAGGACCTGGAGCGCCTTTGGGGCGA